CTACCCCTTTCTCCTGGGAGCACACGAGACACGGACGGACGGGCGGTCCATCGCCGCGGGTCGCTACGCCAAGAGCGGAAGGCTCACCCGCTTCCACCGCCCCTCCGACTGGGCCGACGACCTTACCCGATCAGCGCCGTCCACCGATGCCCCGCGTCACTCCCTGGCTGCGGCACGGTTTCGGAGTTCGACGGTCTGGCCCTTCCTCGTTGCTCTCCCGCGCATGTACGTGTGCGGACATCCCTGGGACTCTGTGACTGTGAGGGACTTGCTGTCGTGGGTATTCGATGGTCGTTGTCCTTCCGAGCGCCCCCACATGGTTGGGTCTGCCGATCGGCGTTATGTCACATAGTTGTTCGGTGCACGTCCACTCTCGAGCGACCCCGCTTTCCCGCAGAGTGGCTACCCTGCGCCGCGCTGCGTACTGAGTTGACCGCTGGTCCTCTGCACGCAGGCGCATCGCTCAGCAGCGGTCGGGTCTGGCTTGACTGCTCCGTCTTTGGCTTCCCCTTGCGAGCATGCGCTTCTGATGCTGCGACGGTTCGCTGGCGCTGTCAGAATCCATCTCCTGCTGGACGACGTCACCAGTTTCTATCTGCTCATACCCGTCAGACTCCCTGGATTGACTTTCTCGCACGGAGACCCTTCCCTGCCATGCGGTTGTCTCGACGCGATAGCGGCTCGGAACGTACTGCGCGCCATTTTGGCTGCGCCTGGCTCGCCCTGAGGGCTGTCCTCTCAGACTCCCTGGGTCGCAGCTTGCACGACCTCTCAGGTGGCTGACCTGTCAGACTCCCTGGGATTGCACGACCGCCTGGCCTCTCAGACGCCCTGGGTTGCTGCCCCCCCCCCCGCCGCCTGATCCGCGGCCCCCGCGCGCGCCCGGGGATTTAGTCGCGGCCGCAGCCCGACCGTGACTGCTCGCCGCCGGCGCTTCCGCCTGCGGCTGTAAAAAAAGTACCCCCGCCAGCCCGCCCAGAAACGACGCCCAGGCGAGTAGAGGGTCGTCCTGAGGGGCTTTTCGGCGTCTTGGGTGCCTCGGGGGGGCCTCTGTGGGCCGTTCGGAATCCTCCTTGGGGCCTCCTGGGGGCCTCTTGGGGCCTCTTGGGGCCATCTTGGGGCCTCTGGGAGCACCTTGGGTGCCTCTGGGGGGTCTCTTGGGGCCTCTTGGGGGTCTCTTGGGGGCCTCCTGGGGGCCTCTTGGGGGGCCTCTTGGGGCCATCTTGGGGCCATCCTGCGGCCTCTTGGGGCATCCTGGGGGCCTCTTGCGGCCATCGTGGAGGAAATCGATCAAAGAAGGGGGGTTCCTAAATTTCAGCCCCCCCCCCCCTCAGAAGGCCAAAATGGGGCCCAAACCATCGTAAAATCAATGATTTTGGATTCCTCGCCGAGGTCGTTTTGGACGCTCCAACGCGCCGCGGAACCCCCTGTCCAGGTCAGCGGGGAGGGGGTAGGGGGAGGGGTAAACCTTTCCCCGAAGGGGGAGAAGGAGGGGTGGGAGAGGGAACTCCTTAAACCACCGACGCCCAGAGGGCTGGTGGGATTCGCGCTTCTGCGCCCTCTTGCCCCCCCCCCCCCCCCTTGAGTGCCCCGAGAGGGCCTTAAGACAATCCCGCGGGGCGTCGATGGGGGGCCCGCGATGGCCCCGAGAGAGCCCAAGAGCGCACCAAGACGGATTCGATCAATCCGCCGAACTGCCACCTCGAGCCCCCCCCCTTCAAAATGAGCACCCTTGGGCCTTCTTGGGCCCATCTTGGAGAGTGCGGGGGGATGGGTTTACAAGTAGTTGTAGGAACGAACTCTCTATCTAGACCACTCATGTTTAACACTGGATGGTGGGGTTTGCGTTTGGTTTCTAGGCGAAGGATATCAGGCTCGCAGGACTTCGCCGATTTGGCCCGCACTACGACGACAACCAGAACCGGGTGCCCTCTCCTGACCGCCCCGCCTTTTTCCCATCGTTGCATGCGCGCGCGTGCCCGCGCGCGCGTGCACGTTGGTTTCCGCGCATTTCAGTGCGCGCATTTGGCTACGTGATCGATGGATTTCAGGCGCGCAGGACTTCGCCGACGGCTTCCCGCGCGACGACGACAAACATCGGGGGCGGACAGAACCCCCAACAGTGACACGTCGATTAGTGAATTGTCCGTTTTCGGTTCTCGAGAGGGCGCCGTGGCCATTATTTTCCAGGCTTGTGCCCGCCAGGTTTGGGCCTCAGGTCGTTTTCACTAAACCACGTTTTACTAAAGGGGGGTCTGTCCATCCCCGAAAACAGGGTCTCGCTCTTTCCCGTCCTCTTCTGGCAAGACCACGGCCCCTCCTCGCAGTGCGATAGGGCGACCGCGCGAGCTGGTGGTCAGTGATGTTCTTGAACGCCATCATTCGGGCGGAGCCAGGCACGCTGTCACCGCCGCAGCCCCAGGCGCCAGCGCGTCGTCGATGCGCGCCAAACTGCCCGCGCAAGCTGCGGCGCAAACTTCGTCGAGGGAGGCGCCGCCGCTGGGCTCGCCCGTGGCCGCGAGGGCCTGATAGACTCAAACGCCATTATACGTCGGACAGAGCTGGCGCCCGGAATCATTGCAACTAGACTTATCGCCGCCTCGAGCTTCTCCCATTTCTGACATGGAAGGATATGGGAAGAGGGGTCAGCAGGCGCGCGTGCAATACCGGATTGTTCGATGTTCTTCGACTTGGAACGGAGTCGGACAACATCTGCCGTGTTCATTCTCGGAGAAGTCCACGCTGCCGTCGATGGTCTCCGTGGTATCCAGGTCACCTGGCAGCGCCTCAGGAGATTGAGCCACCAGCGATATGTCGTCCATGTAGCACCCGCTCGCACCAAGAGGTTACCCCGGCGTGAGGGTCGCGATCATCGTGGCCAGCGCTGTCGACGTTCAGTCACCGTAAGGCAAGCTCCTGACGGGCCTGATGGGTGACGCCTTGCTTCAGCAATACTGAATGCGAGGGCCCACATTCAGCAACACAGCGCCAATAGCACGTTCATATACCGAGAACGCACGTCCATATCAGGCACCATGCAATGCACTGTGCACCGGTAGCGTACGGATATTCTCATACTGGACACCAGTATCAGGAATCATGGATGTTGCCCCATATTGCACTCGGATCGCAGCCTCCGAATTCGTAACATAATGAACCCACACCGCTGGCATGAGTATGGGCGCGCGTGTACCAGCACTATGCCCCAACCACGTACATACCCGCATCACGAGTGGACACATGTGACTTGTTTCGTAGCGTGGACATCCACGTCACTGGCACATATAACCGGCGCGCAGCCATCACAAAGCCACATAACATGTGCAACCGTCATCTTCGTAACACACCTTTCTGTAGAGTGGCGCGTGATCTATGTCGGGAAGCGTTCGCACAACAAGAAAAACCAAATGGATCGCCCGAAACAGCGTTACGCATCCCCTTTTTCTAGCCTTCGCTTCATTTTGCTTTCTCGTTGGCTCCGCCTAATTATACACTTGGCCATTCACTCTCGCCCCCTCTTCCCATGTCTTCAGTTTTCGTGGCCTAGGTAAAAACTAGATCGGCGATCGCACTGGATTGTTGCCCTCCCCCTCACTGCCAATATCGCGAACGCGTTCCTTACATAGCTTTGTCTTTAGCTCTTGGGCCCACCGTCGACTCATCCTCCTTTAAGCTTTCCCCTCCGCTTCTCCATGTTGTCCTGGCAATCGCGTGTTTGACATGCGTAAGGGCGGGACCCGAGCCGTCGTGGGCCGAAGGTCCCCGAACGTTGGGCGACAGAATCAGCTCGCATCAGGCGACGCGTGCGAACCCTGGGCTGCCCTCTCTTCCTCCAACGTTAATATCCCTATGTCTCTCTCTTCCTCTCCCTCTCTCTCTCTCTATTCCCCGGGCCGCCCCCTTTTTTTTTTTTTTCTCTCTCTCTCTCTCTCTCGCTCTCTCTCTCCCTCTCTCTGTCCCTCTTCTTTCTTTCTCTCTTTCCCTCTGTCTTTCTTCTTCTCTGTCTCTCTCTCTCTCTCTCTCTTTTTCTCTTCCTCGGACCGCCCCTCCATGGGCAGCGTGCCTTCTCCGCGGCCGTGAGCCCTGAGCCCCAGCCCTGCCGACGGTGCTCGGGCGTGGCGCCGCGCGGTCTGCGCCATCAAGCGCCCTTCTCTCCCGCGGAGGCCTTTCCGAGGGCTATCAGAAGGCCAACCGTGCGCTCCGCGTGGCGCGGCGCGCGGGGTTGGTTTCCCGGGCTCGCTGTCGGCTAGGAAGCCCCCGGGGCTCGACCCAAGGTGCGTTTTTTGTTGTTTTAACCGAAATCGTGGACAGTTTTTGTTGTGCGTCCGTTTTTGTTTTGTTGATCTCGTTTTGCAGCAGCGGCGTAGCGAGGACCACCGGAGGGGAGCGCAGAGCCACAGTGAAAACGGAACACGCTGTTTGGGTCGAGCTTTGGAAAGCCCTTTCCCAGCAGCCCAGGACCCAGACAAATAGCTCCGGAGCGATCCTCGGGGCTCAAGAGATGGGGGTCAGAGCAAGCGGGGGTCAGGCACAGCGCTGGATCTTGCAGGATCCTGCAGAGCCAAGGGCGCATTTACCTTGGCTAGGGCGCAGCAGCCTGCAGGATCCTGCAGCATCCTGCGAGGCCTCACTGACCCGGGTTTGGATTGACCCAGGTCAGTCGATTCCCGACGTCCCGGAACGCTCTCAGAGCGTTCTGAAGCGTTCTGAAACGGCCGAGGTGCCCAAGACTCGGGGCTGGACAGAACCCCCAACAGTGGCACGTCGATTAGTGAATTGTCCGTTTTCGGCTCTCGAGAGGGCGCCGTGGCCGTTATTTTCCAGGCTTGCGCCCGCCGGGTTTGGGCCCGAGGTCGTTTTCACTAAACCACGTTTTGCTAAAGGGGGTTCTGTCCATCCCCGAAAGACATCTTCCAGAGCCGCTAGATCTCACAGATCCGCGTTCTGCGCTGGTCTGACTTTGCCCCGGTCCTGGCTTGGTCTTGCTCGTTGCTTCCGAGGCGGGCGGGGCGATGGACTGCCTGGAGTCAGTAGTCAACGCGATGGCGGCGGACTCGTGCTCGGCCCCCATGCTGGGCGACCCTGACGGACAGGGGGGAGGCGGGGAGGTGATTCCACACAACCACCACCATGTTTGGCCGTGACAAGCTATACTTTGGCCGAGTGCGTACGCATTGGTGGCCGAGGTCAGGAGGGATCACAGTCGACACATACGATGATAACATTCGCTATCGTAAGCTTGGTGAAGGGAGGGAGTGGAGTAGGAGATGGATAAGGGGGACCAGAAGAAGGAGACGGAGGATGAGAAAGAGGAGCAGGAGGAGGAGAAGGAGGAGGAGGAGGAGAAGGATGATGATGATGAGGAGGAGGAGGAGGAGGAGGAAAATAAGCAAGAATAAGAAAAAAAGATGAGGCCTCTTGGGGCTCTCTTAGGGCGTCCTGGGGGCGCCCCTGGGGGGCCTCTAAGGAGCCTCTTTGGCGTTCTGTTGCCGTCTTGGGGGCATCCTCGGCCGTCGTGGGGTCATCTTTGGGCGCGTGGACCGTCTGTGGGACCGCTCGGGTCATATTGAGGGCCGCTTGGCCCGTCTTGGGATCCTCTTGCAGGCTTTGGGGCCGTGTTGGCGCTATCTTGAAGGCCTCTCAGGTTTTCTTCGGCAGTCGGGAGCCCGAAAACTCGAGAACTTGGAACGTTCTTGAACAAACCAGGAGGGAATCATTGATTTTGGCCTCCTCCTGGGAGTTCTCTTGCAGTCCTCTTCGGGCGTCTTGGGGACATCTTAGGCCTTCTGGAGGGCATCTTGGGCCGTCGTCGAGTCTTAGTGGGCCGTTTGGTGGAATCTTGGATCGTCTTGGAGTCATCTTGGGCCGTCTTGAAAGCGTCTTGAGACCCTTTCAGATTACATGTTGGCCGTTGTGGAGGCCCTCGTGGGAAAATCTTGGGCGGGAAAGCCGACGGAGTGTATCGCGCCCGAGTTTTTCCGCGTGGCTTGCTGGGTTGGCCGACACTACATTGGGAACCTTGTGGCGTTGTTCGCACGTTGATATGTAGCATTCTAGCAGCTCCTCTTGCAAGCAACATGGGGACGGCCGATAACGGAAAGCGCGCGTTAGCTTGCGGTCCGTTAGTCGGAAGAAATTGGATTTGGGGGAGTTCGAGGGGGGTGGCATCGCCAGCCCCGGATGACGGAAAGCGCGCGTTAGTGTACGGTCCGTTAGTCGGAAGAAGTTGGACTTGGGGGAGTTCGAGGGGGGTGGCATCGCCGGGCCTGGATCTAATTGCCTTCCCGCCTCGTTTTTTATCGAGTAGGGCGGCCTTCGGGGCTTAAAAACAGCGTTTCGCTCGAGACATCATCGGAAAACGCTTCTTGGGCGCTTCTTGGGCCGTCTTAGGCGCCGAAGACAGCCCAAGAAGCGGCCAAGACGGCGCCCAAGACGGCCCAAGACGGCCCAAGAAGCGCCCAAGACGGTCCAAGAGCGCTCCCAGAGAGCCTCAGACCGCCCAAGGCGGCTCCAAGACGTCCCAAGAGGCCTCCACGACGCCCCAGGAGGCGCCCACGAGGCGTCCCAAGAGGGCCCCAAGAGGCCAAAATCATGGATTTTCATGCGGAAAACGTGCATTTGTAGCATATACGGCTTTTCGCCTTTCATGGCGTTGAAGAAGGTCCAAGAGGCCCCCAAGACCGCCCCAAGACGGCCCAAGATGTTCCCAAAAGGCCCCCAAAATAGCCCAAGAGGGCGCCAAGACGGGCCAAGAGGCGTCCAAGACTGTCCAAGAGGCCCCCAAGAGCGCCCCAAGAAGGCCCAATAGGCCACCAAAAAGGCCCCAAAACGGCCCAAGAGGGCACCAAGACGGCCCACGAGGCGCCAGGACGGGCCACGACGGCGCCAGGACGGCCCCAAGAAGGCCCCAAGAGGCCCGCAAGAGAGCCCAAAGACGGCCAAAGGCAGCCTAGTTCCTTCACCCCCGCAGCCCAGAAGCTCCCAGGAAACCCCAAGAGGCCCCCGAAAAGCCCAACGAGGTCCCCAAGAGGCACCCAAGAGGCTCCCCACGAGCCCCCCAAGAGGCCCAAAACACTCCCAAAGGCTCTTAGCACCGCGGCTCCCAAGAGCGAGCGGTGACGTAATCGAGCTGATAAGACCAAAGCTCCCAACAGAGAGCTGCGACGTAATAAGTTCTTGACGCCAGGGCACAGGGACGGGCGGCAACGCGTGGACAACGAGCGGTCCACGCAAGGAAAACGCGGGGTTCTGGAAAGCTGGCAGCCCAAACGCGGAAAACGCAACGCGACCCGACCGCCCCCCCCAAAACAAGAAACGCGCTCAAAGAACGCTCCGCGACTCTCCGAGGCTGAGATAGGACAAGAGCGAGGGGAAGGGAGTCAATAAGAGGTGTAAGAGCGAACGAGCCATCGATCTCGTGCGCTCTGAAAGTAAGTGCGCTTTCCGTCCCCGTGCCAAGCAGGTCTAATTGCCCTCCTGCCTCGTTGTTTATCGAGTAGGACAGCCTTCGGGGCTTAAAAACAGCGTTTCGCTCGAGACATCATCGGAAAACGCTTCTTGGGCGCTTCTTGGGCCGTCTTAGGCGCCGAAGACAGCCCAAGAAGCGGCCAAGACGGCGCCCAAGACGGCCCAAGACGGCCCAAGAAGCGCCCAAGACGGTCCAAGAGCGCTCCAAGAGAGCCCAAGACCGCCCAAGGCGGCCCCAAGACGTCCCAAGCGGCCTCCACGACGCCCCAGGAGGCGCCCACGAGGCGTCCCAAGAGGGCCCCAAGAGGCCAGCACCATTGATTTTCGTAAGGGAAACGTGCATTTTTAGCATATACGGCTTTTCGCCTTTCATGGCGTTGAAGACGGTCCAAGAGGCCCCCAAGACCGCCTCAAGACGGCCCACGATGTTCCCAAAAGCATCCAAATAGCCCAAGAGGGCGCCAAGACGGGCCAAGAGGCGTCCAAGACTGTCCAAGAGGCCCCCAAGAGCGCCCCAAGAAGGCCCAATAGGCCACCAAGAAGGCCCCAAAACGGCCCAAGAGGGCGCCAAGACGGCCCACGAGGCGCCAGGACGGGCCACGACGGCGCCAGGGCGGCCCCAAGAAGGCCCGAAGATGCCCCCAAGAGAGCCCAAAGACGGCCAAAGGCAGCCTAGTCCCTTCACCCCCGCAGCCCAGAAGCTCCCAGGAAACCCCAAGAGGCCCCCGAAAAGCCCAAAGAGGTCCCCAAGAGGCTCCCCAAGAGCCCCCCAAGAGGCCCAACATACTCCCAAAGGCTCTTAGCACCGCGGCTCCCAAGAGCGAGCGGTGACGTAATCGAGCTGATAAGACCAAAGCTCCCAACAGAGAGCTGCGGCGTAATAAGTTCTTGACGCCAGGGCACAGGGACGGGCGGCAACGCGTGGACAACGAACGGTCCACGCAAGGAAAACGCGGGGTTCTGGAAAGCTGGCAGCCCAAACGCGGAAAACGCAACGCGACCCGACCGCCCCCTGCAAAACAAGAAACGCGCTCAAAGAAAGCTCCGCGACTCTCCGAGGCTGAGATAGGACAAGAGCGAGGGGAAGGGAGTCAATAGGCGGTGTAAGAGCGGACGAGCCAGCGATCTCGTGTGCTCTGAAAGTAAGTGCGCTTTCCGTCCCCGTGCCAAGCAGGTCTAGTGGCCGTCGGCATCCGTCGGCCCATCCCGCTACCGTGCTTGGTTCGTGGACCAGAGGTCTTCTGGAGGCCTCTTTGGGTCTCTTGGAAGGCACTTGGTAATATTGGAGGCCCCTTCGGGGCATATTCGGGCCCCCCATGGCCTCCTGAGGGGCTCTCCTTGGGGGCATCTTTGGGGCCTCCTGAAGGGCTCTCCGGAGCTTTGGGAACCTCTGTGGGGCCTCTTGGGAGCGTGGAGGCGGTCTCGGGAAAGGGCATTCTTGGAGGTCAACGCTGCACGATTGTGCCTTCCAGAGTGGTTCACCTTCGTTCATCTCTCCCCCCCTGGCCGGAGGTGGGCTTCTTCGGGCGCCAAGATTACCCCACACGCCCAAAGCCCCCATCCTCGACCGTCAGTAGTCAGGAGGGGCATGATGGTGATGATGATGATGATGATGATGATGATGATAATACTGATGCTGCTGATGATTATGATGATGTTGGAGGAGGAGGAGGAGAAGCATGATGAGGAACGAACGAACGACCGACCACCAATGCGGACAGCAGTCCGGGCCTACTGGAGACCAGGTGAATGAGGCCGTGGCCTCTGAAATAGTATTGTGTATGGTGAGGCGTGCATTCGAGACGTGTAAAAAGTTATGTGAAACGGAGGGGAGGGGAGGAGGGGGAGGAATCCTTGTAGTCGATGACGTGGTGTGTTGGTGCCACGTCGCTGGGTAGAGTCTGTGTTGGTCGTCTGTGCTGGGTCTGGTGTTGGTGTTGGCGCAAGGCGCCGGTAGTCGGTGTTGTAGTCCTTGACTGTTGGTGGTCGGTGCTTGTGGTCGCGTGGTCGGCCGTCAGTGCTGCATGGCTCGAACCATGCAGCGACAAAGGCTCTCTCGAGTGAGTTCCACCATGCCGTCCGTGTCGCAGCTGTGAGCCACCTTACATCGTTGGTGTCGCGGTGGATGTATCGTCGTGGTTGGGTGGCGTCGTCGTTGGCGTCGCGTTGTGTGTCGTCGTCGCCTGTCTGTCGATGCTCATTGTATAGGAACTTTCGCAAATCGTCATCCCATCGCTCGTGCTGGCCACCGTGCTGTCGATAACCCTGTTGTTTTGTGTCCCTATTGGGACTCCATTTCAGAGCTCGCTGTGTCCACCTGTTTGGTGGGTGGGTCGCTACGCGTGCTGCCCACTGCCAAACCATTTTGCGATGCATTTGGGTGACGTCTGGGATGTCGTGCAGGCTCATGAGTTCCTCCGCTCTGCGGGTGCACCAGCGGATGTAGTCAGACCAGGAGGAGGAGGAGGAGGAGGACGAGGAGGAGGAGGAGGAGGAGGAGGAAGAAGAGGAGGAGGAAGAGGAGGTCGGCTGCGTCCGTGGAGACCCTGGGGCCGACAGCTCCGATGTCCTGAGGGGCAGGAGGAAAGAGACGCCTCTTTCGCCAGTGGTGGGACTCTTCCCTGGTGTGCCGGGGCAGCGGTCTGGCCACAGGGTCTTCAGGGTGCCAGCGGGCCAGGCATTGCACTTTCGCCAGTTCTCTCGGGTCGTCTCGCTCGAAGCGTCGGCCCACGAAGCGAACGCTCCTTGTGAGCGCTCTGCCCCGATTCAAGCACCATGTCCGCACATCGTGTTCGAGTGCCACCTCCTCTGCTTCTCGAGTGGGATGTTGGCCAGAGGCTTTTGGCACTCTTTGGGTTGCGTGCTGTTTCCAGAAGCCCCTGCGGGGACCTCGATGGATCCAGAGGCTTGTCTCAGGAAGCCTCAGGAGAGCTCCATTGCCTTCCAGAGGTCCCCATTACTGTAACGCCGTGAGAAGGATCGTTCCTCGAACGGGCGGCGCATTGGCCAGAGGAGGAGGAGGAGGAGGAGGAGGAGGAGGAAGAGGAGGAGGACCGGCTTTAGGCCAAGTCGTCCACCAGCCCTAATAGCAGTTATAGCATAAGTCTGTTCATATCGATCTGGCCCGTGCACCGAAGGTCCACTGCAATCCTCTCGCGGCTTACAGTGGGGATCCTTGCCACTGGGCACTTGATATGAGCCACATATGGTACAGACCATGTCCAGAGGGCTCGCCAGAAATTGGTGCCCTTTGAGCTCGACGATATCGTCAGAGCCGGTCACTGACTCCTCGGACCCCTCTCTCGCCTGAGTGCCAGCCTGCAGGTCTTGATCAGCCTGTGCAGAGTCAGCAAATTGCATAGCAGTCTACACAGCATGAGACCTCAAAAGAGGGGCAATGAGGAGGCAGACGAGGAGGAGGAGGAGGAGGAGGAGGAGGAGGAGGAGGAGGAGGATCAGGAGGAACAAAGTAAACCCCAGATGTGTTGACAACGCTACAGTGCACCCTCGCATCGTAAGTCACATCCCCAGCGCGGGCCGCAATTCCTCCGCATTGAAAGAACTTGTTGTCCATCCTTCCGGCTACAGGGGCTGCGACAAGGCAAAGCTTAATATTCAAGGAAGTGGCCAGCAACAGCCATGATTTGAAGAGAAACCTCCATCCGTGTAGTTGTTGGGCATTTCAAAATTCTTCACGCTTCGCGTATCCCCACCAGCCCATCTCAAAACAGCAACTCTTGCGAAGCATGCCGACAGTCGTGTTTTTCAGGCGTGTTTCCGCCTGCTCCCGCATATCTCCCCTGTTCCTCCTTCCTCCCGCCTCCTTGTACATCCTCCTTGTGGTGGGAGCGGGAGAAGGACGAGGCGGAGGAGGAGGGAGAGAAAGCGGTGGGAGGCAAGAGGGATTTAGCGGAGACGACGATCACAGCGATGATCCTAACAACGACGACGCACCCGACGACGACGACGATATCGACCGCGACGACGACGACGACCACAACGCGACGACGACGACGACGACGACGTCGACGACGACGACGACGAAGGCGGCGGCGACGACGACGACGACGACGACGACGACGACGACGACGACGACGACTGGTGGGAGTCGTTGGGGCCCCTCGTGGTGTGAGTCGTTCGGCCCCATCGTCCTTGTGTGAGTCCTTCGGGCCCCTCTTCCTGGTGTGAGTCGTTCGGGCTCCTCGTGGTGTGAGTCGTTCGGGCCCCTCGTCCTGGTGTGAGCCGTTCGGGCTCCTCGTGGTTTGAGTCGTTCGGGCCTCTCGTCCTGGTGTGAGTCGTTCGGGCCCTTCTTCCTGGTGTGAGTCTTCTTCGTGGTGTGAGTCGTTCGGGCTCTTCGTCCTGGTGTGAGTCGTTCGGGCTTCTCGTGGTGTGAGTTGTTCGGGCCCCTCGTCCTGGTGTGAGTCGTTCGGGCCCCTCCTCCTGGTGTGGTTCGGGCTCCTCGTGGTGTGAGTCGTTCGGGGCCCTCGTCCTGGTGTGAGTCGTTCGGGCTCCTCGTGGTGTGAGTCGTTCGGGCGCCTCGTCCTGGTGTGAGTCGTTCGGACCCCTCCTCCTGGTGCGAGTCGTTCGGGCTCTTCGTGGTGTGAGTCGTTCGGGCTGTTAGTAGTAGCAGTAGTAGTAGTAAGAGAAGTAGTAGCAGTAGTGGTGGTGATAGTAGTAGTAGTAGTTGTGGGAATTATCGTGCTAGTATCAGTAGTAGTAATACTAGTAGTAGTAGTAGTAGTAGTAGTAGTAGTTGTAGTAGAAGTCTCAGTACTAGTAGCAGCAGTAGCAGTAATAGTAATAATGGTGGAAGTTGTAATAGTAGTAATAGTAGTAGTAGTAGTACTAGTAGTAGCAGACGTCGGCGTTGTACTCGTAGTAGTACAAGTAGTAGTAGTAGTAGTAGTAGTAGTAGTAGTAGTAGTAGTCGTAGTCGTAGTCGTAGTCGTAGTAGTAGTAGTAGTAGTAGTAGTAGTAGTAGTAGTAGTAGTAGTAGTAGTAAGTGTAGAAGTAGTAGTAGTGGTAGTAGTAGTAGTAGTAGTAGTAGTAGTAGTCGTAGTCGTAGTCGTAGTAGTGGTAGTACTAGTAGTACTAGTAGTAGTAGTAGTAGTAGTAGTAGTAGTAGTAGTAAATGTAGTAGTAGTAGTAGTAGTAGTAGTAGTGGTAGTATTAGTTGTACTAGTAGTAGGTGTACTAGTAATAGTAGTAAAGTAAGGAGTAGTAGTATTATTATTAGTAGTAGTAGTAGTAGTCGTAGTAGTAGTAGTAGTAGTAGTAGTAGTAGTAATAGCAGTAGTAGTGGTGGTAGAAGTAGTAGTTGTAGTAGTAGAAGTAGTAGTCGTAGCAGCAGTAGCAGCAGCAGCAGCAGTAGTAGTAGTAGTAGTAGTAGTAGTAGTAGTAGTAGTAGTAGTAGTAGTAGTCGTAGTCGTAGTCGTAGTAGTAGTAGTAGTAGTAGTAGGTAGTAGTAGTAGTAGTAGTAGTAGTAGGCGTAGTAGTAGTAGTAGTAGTAGTAGTAGTAGTAGCAGTAGTAGTAGTAGTAGTAGTAGTAATCGTCGTAGTAGTGGGAATGGTAGTAGTAGTAGTAGTAGGAGGAGTAGTCGTATCCAAGGCAATAGGGAGGCTTCTTGGAGGCCGTTTTTGGGCCTCTTGGGCTCTCTTTTGAGCCTCTGGGGAACGTCCGAAGGCTCTCTGTGTCGCCTCTTGGAGCGTCTTGGGGGCCTGTAGCAATAGCAGTAGCCGTCGTAGTAGAATTAGTAGTGGTAGTAGTAGTAGCAGAAGTAGCAGTAGTGGTCGTAGAAGAAGAAGAAGTGGCAGTAGTAGGAGTGAGAGTAGTAGTAGTAGTAGTAGTAGTAGTAGTAGTAGTAGTAGTAGTAGTAGTAGTAGTAGTAGTAGTAGTAGTAGTGGTAGTGGTAGAGGTAGTGGTAGTGGTAGTAGTAGTAGTAGTAGTAGTAGTAGTCGTAGTAGTAGTAGTAGTAGTAGTAGTAGTAGTAGTAGTAGTAGTAGTAGCAGTAGCAGTAGCAGTAGCAGTAGCAGTAGCAGTAGCGGTAGAAGTATGAGTAGTTGTTGTTGTTGTAGTAGGAGTCGTGGTGGTAGCGGTGGGAGTAGCGGTAGAAGTCGTACTCGTTGTCGTTGTCGCAGTGCTTGGGGATATATTAGGGCCTTCTTGGCGATATGTGGAGACATATTGGAGATATACTAGGGCCTTCTGGGCGATATGTTGGAGGTCTCGGAGCCCTTTGCGGGCTCTCCCGGGGCGCTCTTAGGGCCCTCTTGGGGCTCTTTGGGAGGGGTCTGGGAGGTATCTTGGGGCCATCTTTCGGGCGATCGATCACAGATGGGGCGAGCATTTTTCTCCCCCCCCCGTCGGGGCCACGATCCTCGTGAGGGGTGTCGAATTTTAGCCCTCCCAGGAGTCGAAAAAGACCCCTCCGACCACCCGCGGAAGGACCTCTCCAGGCCCAGGGGGAGGGGGTAGGGGGAGGGGTAAACCCCTCCCCGAAGGGGAAGAAGGGGGTTGAGAACAGAGCGGGCTCTCTAAACCACTCACGCCCAAAGGGCTGGTGGGATTCCTCGCTTTGCAACCTACTGCCCTGGCGAGAGCCCGATCTTTGAAAAGAAAAACCCTCTATCCGTGTAACCCTTGCGCAAGGTTAAACCAGTCGTGCCAAACTCAGGTGAGAGCCCCATTTCGACACCGTGTTTGCCTTCATTCGTGTTTTCTGAAGGCGAATGTGCTCGGCGTGGCGAGAGCCACATTTTGAAAAGGTGCCCCCCTCCATCCTTGAAGTGTCTGAAATTTTGAAGGCGCAAGGAAGTTTCAAGCGAAGCGCCCGTTCCGGCCTACGCGCACGTCTGGTGGTGCGATAGGGAGGAGTGGAAGGCGGTGCTTCTCAGAAGCCCTCTGCGGCTTCGGAAAAGGCTCAGAGGGCTGCTCAGAAAGCGCGAGGCCATCTGAGCCTTTACAGACGGCCCGCCCCTTCTGCTTGCCCCCCCTTGTACGCGTAGTTGATCCACGTTGTATCTTGCGTGGGGCCTTACTGTCAGTTCTGCAGCTTGGTGTCAACTCTTGTGTTCGACGCGGGCTCGACGCGTGTTCGAAGCAGACCCGACGTGGACTCGAAGTGGATTCGATGCGGATTCGATGTTCGGCACGGATCCGACGCGGCTCGAAACAGCTAGCGGCGCGATGGAACAGACGGTCTTCCGAAGCTGCATCTTAGATGTCTAATGCTCCGCGCTGCATCTGCTGCTACTCCTCCCGCCACTTCTGCAGCCCATTGATCCCCTCTTGCTTCTTCTCGTCCTCGTTCCTGTCATCGCTTGCTTACTCCTTCTCGTTCCCCTCCCTGATCGGGAGGAGCCGTGTCTCCAGCCACGGGAAGCGGAAAACCCGCCAAGAAGAAGAAGAAGAGGAAGGGCGCTGGGAAGGCCCTGGGCGCGGCCACTGCTGTCGACCCCTACTTGTGAAGGCGGGGTGCGTGTCGCATTCTTCCTCCTCCTCCAATCTCCCTCTTCTCCCTTCTTTCTTTCATCCACCCCCCTTCCCTCCCGTCTCCCCCTTTCCACCCAACTCCCCCCTCACTCCTCCATGCTGTCTGTTAAGATAAACGATCCTCCCTCCCTCCCTCCTCCCTTCCCTGCCCTTCCTCCCATCTCCCTCCCTGGTCGACCTGCGCACCCAAGTCAATTGTCCGTTCGGTAGCGTTTCTCCTACTCCCAGTCCTCGCCCCCCTACCCCCTCCCCTCATCCTCTCTCGTCTCCTCCTGCCTCTGAGCCTTCTCCCTCGTCTCCCCTCCCTCTACCCCTTTTCCCCCCTCAGCCCTTCTGCGCTCGAGTAGCGTTGCAGGGACAATTCTTCAGAAGGGCGCGCGTCCCTGCGAGCCAAAGCTTCCGGCGGGCACCAGGCCTGCTTCTCCCATCCGCAATCTTTCTTTCCAGAAATCCCGCGCCATGGCACCGCTCCCAGCTTCAGCGTACTCGGGAAGGGTGCCACCTCCATGACCCAGGCAGCAGCAGTGGCAGTCATCCAGTCTCCCCCCGGCAACGGCACCAAGGGAGGCGGCCAGAGCACCACTGGCGGGGGCACAGGCGTTTCGGGCGAGCCACCCTCCAAATCCAAATGCACGTGCTCGAACTGCGGCTGCCTTTCTGGCAACTGTGTAAGCAATGCTGGTCATGGATATCGTCGCCATCATTTACGCAGTCCTCTCAGCCTCTGGGCGTCTTGGCGAAAGGAAGCCCTTCCTTCGCTCCATGCTCGTGGGCCGCGGGTGCTCTGCCTCTGCATTGTGGTCTTACTCTTTGGCCTGGCCTTTTGGTGCAAGGTGCACATGGAGTTCCGCTACCACAGGACGATCACACTCAGATCGCATCGCTGGTCTAGCTCCTGCGTTCTCAAGGCGACTCACCAGCGATTGCTCGCTATCAGTCCAAGTTGGGTGACACAATGGCAGACAATCTAGTCGAACCACCATTGCAGCAGAAAGTCAATCGTGCCTCCGATGGCATGTGTGGATTGGAAACAGCATTGTTATAAATATTAGAGTCGCTCGAGCGTGCGCAGACATAATATACCAGAAGATGTCGAATGTCGAAGCTCATCAGCCCAGCTGGCCGAGGCAGGGGCATCACACAAGTTGTTGGGAAAAAGAGCTGCACATATGGCCGGGTGGTTATGTTCGTGGTGTTGCTTGGGGGTCGTGTTGGTGGTGATATCGTCATTAGTGATACTTTTGCGGGCAAACCATTGCCGATCGACCTGATCAGTCTATTGGCACGGGAGGAAGAGAACGATCTTGATGATGAAGGTGATCAAGAGGCGGTTGCGATACCCGAAACATTCAATAAGCAGACCCGGAAGCAGGCCAAATCATTGTCTGGAACAGCTCAAAAACATGTTGAGAATTACCGCAAGGATATTCATGAACAGGAGTCTGGGTTGTTTGGCAAGAAGCGGAATGCTATTTCCAAACCCGCTGGAAACGGACGAGAAGTACTCGTTCTTGCTGGTGCTGCCGCAGAGTTCCTCACGCAATTTCTTTCAAGGCCGTGATGCTGGAGGTGGAGTTTCGACGGACGGGTTCGGCGGGCCCCACGAGGTTCGCGGACGGGTTCGCGGACGGGTTCCACGGACGGGTTTGACAGATGGGTTCGTCAATTGGAAGCTTTGATTTCAAGGCCCGCGCTGCCAACTACAGGCCCTCCCAACAAAAACAATAAGTGCAACGCTGCGTTGGGGGGTCTGTCGTTGTGCATGAAGGAGGCGGTTTGTAAGTTGCATGAACCCTGGGGGCCTTGCGGCGCAGTTCCCACCTGGCGTTGTGTGTTCGCTCAGAAACATTGGCCTGCGGGAGCAACCACCGACGGGGGCGCTGGCTTGCCGCGACTTGCCCTGCGTGCGGGGGGGGCTCCTCGCCGGAATGGGCCGGCAGCGGGCTGTCTATCACTAGTTTCTCCGACCAGCCATGTGCGGGCCTCCCAGGGCGCTGCCACAAGTAGTGAGACTAAGCGTGATCTGCTGCGGGGTGGCAGCGGCCCCCCGGCTCGAAATGTAGAGCGCGCGCCAGCTAGGGGAAGGGGGGCCTGCTGGCGAGTGGCTCACTCGCGCGACCCTCGGCCCCGATGGTTTTGGGGGGCACGTTGATGCCCGGCGTTTCTCTCTGTTCCAACGAGCAACCCACTGGGCCTCTCGTGGCCGACGACCCGCCGACGCAAGCCCCCCCCCCAGCTCGAAACATGTTACGTATCGGGGCGTGGCCTCTGGCCAGATCATGGTACAAAAGGGAGAAGCGGACAGCGCGGTTATGCGAGAGCACGAGCAGTTGGTTCATTGAATCGTTCCCAGGTCACCCTGGGCGTGTCGGCGCAGTTGGACGAGCTTCGGGAAAGCCGCGGTGCCTGGTGGTGGCCAGAGGGGTTTAGCAGGAGCAGCTGCTTTCGTCCGTGATGGCCTCGGTCTCCGCGCGCATGTCGCGGCGCGTTCGAGAGCAGTGGCGGGCATTGGGGAAGTGCCTGGTCAGCCTGCGCCCCTCATGATCTCCGCGCACATCCATGGCTGTCAGGATTTGTCGGGCCATGATATCGATGCCGCTTGCTCGTGCCTCTCTCTCCCTAGGCGATGTCTGGAAGTTGCCGTGCTCTCTGCGGTGCTGATCTTAATGCGGAGCCAGCGGCGCTCCTGGAAGGAAGTTTCGGGGGCCGACACTGCGTGGGGGTTTTCGTTCCAGAGGGTTGCATCGTGAAGTCCGTCGCTGGACTCACGTAGTGCGCTCTTTCACTGCTCTGGCTGGCGCAGACAAGGCTGAAATCCACGCGCAGGTCATTCGAGATGCCGATATTTGATTTCGTATCCCTCTCAGGTGTCAGTTGCGCGCTATGTTCGTTGACGTTTCATCCACTTGCTTTTCGGCGGTGTCCTCCGCCCCCGGCGGTTCCGTTTCCTCCTGCGTCTCTCGTCGTTGCGTGCGGGCCTCAGGAGCGGGAGTGGCTGCGCGGCGTGCTGGGGGCGGCTCGGAAAGTTACGCTTTGGGGGTCGCGGCGCGTGCGCGGGCCTTTTGTGATCGTGCTTCTTGCGTTGGGCTAGCGCTGCCGAGCGCGAGGTGTCGGGGCCCTGCCTGCGCGGAATTCTAGTGGCAAGGCCCCGCGGATGATTTGGCGCCAGATTCTCGAAGGAGACCGCCAGTTGCGCGCGGCCAGGTGGCAGGCCAGCGCCTTCTTTGACTTCGAGGGCCACGGGGCAGAGGGCTGCCTGGCGGGCGTCGAGCAGGCGCTCGACGGTCTCGCGCAGCCGCGAGCTCAGATAATGGACAGCTCAGGGCCCGCCCCACTGCTGGCCATTGTTCAGTTCGTACGCGATTCCCCGGCGCGGGAACTTGCCGACGGCTCGATGTTGGTTTTGTTCAAGCATTTGCATTCGCTGCCCTGCTGGGCTCTCACCGGCGTCGAGGCCTCGACGAGGAGAGGGCCAACCGGGGGTTCGAAGGGCCCGCGCGGTCTCGACGGGCGTCGAAGCGGGGGGCCCCCACGTGGCGCATCTCACCGTTCCTTGCGACGAGTTGGTGCTGGGCGCTGTCAGGCCTGTCTGCTGCGACGGAGCTCGCGGTGCGCAGATTCCTCGGCAGGAGGCCCTCGCCCTGACGGCGCTCATCCCGGGGCCCAGCTCTGGAATCCGTTCGATGGGGAATCTCCGCGCCGCGCGCCGCGCCCCCAAGGCGCGCGGGCCTCCGGCCCGGGCTCGAGGCTTCAGGATTCCAGGGGTCATTTTGCGGCGGGGTTTCTCGAGGGGGCTCCGCGCGCGGTCTGGGGGCTGGCGGCGCGCGCGGAGTTCTCCGCTGCGCGCTCAGATGCGGCGGCCGCGGTGCTGTTCTATTCATTTCTTGAGTCCATCGATCGCGAGGTGATCCTTCAGCGGTGTAGACATGGCACTTCGGCTGGCCATTGCGAGGTTGGCGATTCCCATGTACTTCTAGGCCAGGTTGTTTGTCTTGAGCGGTCTCGCGGGCGGGCCTTACTGGGGGGCATCATTGCGGGGCGTGCGTCTGCGATGTCGCTCATGAGGGTGCATGCGATTTCGCCCCTGGATACGTTGCGCCCCCTCTTCAGGCGCCCTCTAAATCGTTTATTTTGAGGGCGCAGGTGCGAAGCCGTCCCTGGTGGGCTGCGATCTGCGAAACCGTCGCCACTTTCGAGGGCTGCTTGGGGGGCCAGCATAGCGATCTGCGAAACCGTCGCCACTTTCGAGGGCTGCTGGTGGGCCCAGCGGAGTGAGGCACCGCGCAGATCTGAGCGGGACCTCACCGTCCCTGGTGGGTTGCGATCTGCGACATTGTCGCCACTTTCGGAGGCTGCTGGTGGGTCCAGCGGAGTGAGGCACCGCGCAGGTCTGAGCGGGACCTTGCCGTCCTTGGGGGGTTCTGCGATCTGCGAAACCGTCGCTACGTTCGAAGGCCGGTGACGGGTCCAGCGAAGTGAGGCACTACGCAGATTTGAGCGGGACCTCGCAATCTTCAGGGGGTTGCGAGTTTCGCGAATGCCGCTCGCAGAAGTATATGCGCCCATGTCACGTCATCACCTGCGTATAACGCCTCCCAAGCTACTCATGCCCCGCATTGCGCAGGGGTTGGGTATGTTGCCATCTATTTTTTCTTTAGTATCGTTGCGTACATCCGAGAGAACCTTTTCAAGATCAATGCGTTCAAGGTGGCAGCCCAGCTAGCAGTCGACGAGGCTGAGGTCGAATGGGGGGGATACCGTAGACGGGGCAACGAACAGGCTGGCGCTTCAGCCAAAGCTGCGGCATCCTTGCATCCTGCGCCGCCTCCCGTGGAGTTCGAGGGTCTTGACAATCCTCGTCGGTTGCCCGTGCTGTAGGGTGTCTCGGCGCCGAGCTGTTGTCTCTGCGGCCCAGGCTTAATGCGGATAAGGGTGTCGAGCTGTTCAACGCGCCTGCCAAAGGGCGGTCCCCGTCTAAGCCTTCGCGCATCTGGCACTGGGCACGGCCCCACTGGCAGCGTCAGCGTTGTCTCGGAGGACAGCGAGGCCAACCGAGGGTAGAGCCTCGCGGAGGTTCTTGTTCGCGCGTGCTGCGTGTGCAGCCTTCGGTGCTCAGAAACCTGGGCCATAAGTGCGTCTCAATTGATTGCTCGGATTCGAGCTTTCTTTGTATTTGCCACACGTGTGGTTATAACACTTCTGGGGGTCGTCTCGACTGCTATGGGAAAAATCGAGCCGCACACGGTGGTCTCGCACAGCAATCCGTGGTTTCTTTTGCAGAGAGGACTCCCTCCTTCGTGCAACAGGCCTGGATATATTGTGGGTGTCAACACGTGTTGTCGTTTATAAAGCCCGTGCGATGCTCGTCGTCCAAATTGCTTGCAGTGCATGGGTGTTCTCCTTGCGCAGAGTCGCAGTTGGTGTGGGGCACCTGAGGCTGAAGGAGGGGGTCGACCTCGACGAACACTCTCTTTGTCCCTCGCCTCCGCCGCGGCCCCACCCCCAATCACCGCACGATACCCTTGCACCAGCAACACCCAGACGCGAGCCAAGTCGACATCGCCCTTGTCCGTCGCCCCGTGGGCGCGCTCAGGGGGCCCCTTGTGCCCCCCTGTCCCCCCCCCGCCCGCAGCACCGACGCTCCAAAGCGTGCCCCTCAATTCTAGCCAGACGCCGCCCCCCCACCAGCCGCCCCCGCCTCCCTCCTCCGCCCCCTCCCCCCCTTCTCCTCGCTGCCCCCCCCCCCCTCACGGTAGCAACGACACCCGAAACAGTGCCCCCCCCCCGTGCCGACGCCGCTGTCCGCCCGCTTCGCCGCCGCGGCCCGTCTTCGCCGCCGCCGCCGCCTCCGCCGTCTTCGTCGTCGCCGCCGCCGTCCTCCTGGTCGCCGTCGCCGCCGCCCTCGCTTGCCCGCCCCCTCTCCCCCGGCGCCCCTTCAGGGGGGGCTCCTCCGCCCGCCAGGCGCCGCCGCGGGATCGCCCCTCCCCGCCAGGGTGCACGCCGCCGCGCCGCCGTCGGCCAGCCAGCGGCGCCCGCTCGACCTGAGCGGCGCGCGCGCGCGCCTCTCGGCTCGACCGGCGAGGAGAAGAGGCCCCTTCCTCGCATCAGGGGCAGCGCCAGGGGGGGGGGGGACAGGTTCAGGGGGGAGCGCATCGACCCCCCATCGCCCACTCATCGCCGAAAAGGGCCTGGTAGCCCAACCGTCCCAGGAAGGGTCGGTTTCGCTATCGGGAGCTTATCGTCGCTCCATCTGCGTATATCGCATATTGAAGCTCGATGCTTCCCCTCCTGGTCTGGTCCCCCCTAACATTGCCCTTCATTTCAGGGCCTGGGAAACCCGGGATTTGCAGACAAGGACTTCGCCAGATGCACCGGGAGAGAACGATGAGTGGATGATGTTTCGGTCCACGGTTCGCGCGCGCCCACGTCCTGATTCATCAAGTTTCCGTTCACGAGGCTCTGATCCTCGGTCGGGTGTGGCCCAGAGTGCCCTTGGCCCAAGGCGGCCCCAGGTTTTCTTGGGAGGACCAGGCGGCCTCCAACGCCTTACTCACGAGGCCCAAAGGGCCCTATAACCCAGGGGAGCTATTCATGACCCCCCCATTCATTCCAGTGAAACGATAGCGCAGCCAACACCCTGAAGCGCTAGCCTGGCACTTGCCGCCCACTGGCCCCTGGATCCCCTGGGTCCCCATTCTTCTTCTTCTTATTATTATTATCAGTATTACTACTACTATTACGATTGCTACTACGGGTGCTACTACTATTACTACGACTATTACTGCGACGACGACGACTACTGCTACGACGACTACTAGCATTTGTATCATTACTACTATCACTCTTACTACTTCTACGACTACTACTACTACTACTACTACTACTACTACTGCTACTACTACTACTACTACTACTGTTACTACTACTGGTACTACTACTACTACTTCTTCTACTACTACTACTACTGTTACTACTACTAGTACCGCGACTACTACTACTAATACTACTACTACTACTATTACTGCTGCTACTGCTACTACTGAAACGGCTACTACTACTGCTACTACTACTACTACTACTATTACGAATACTACTACTATTCTCACACACACACACACCTCACACGTTTTATGTTTCCTCAATGGGGGGCCCACCGAAGGCCCAAATGCCAGCGTTCGCATGCGGCCACCGCGTCCATTTTGGCACACCCCTCACACGTTTCGTCTCCCCACAGGGAGTCCCACCGAAAGCCCGAATGTCAGCATTCGCATGCGGCCACCGCACCCATTTTGGGACACTCCTCGCACGTTTGGTAGCCCCATGGGGGGCTCCTCCGAATGCGGTGTGTACAACGACGGTGTTCACAACTATATATGGTTGGGTCACTCGTGGTGCAAATTTTCCGTACGAATTGTGGTATTCATAAATGTATTATTTTTGTTGCGCACCATATCTTTACTATAAATCCTCCTCCTCCTGCTAAGTTATACTAGTATTTTCTATTCTTATTAGTATTAGTATTACTAGTAGTAGTAGTAGTAGTAGTAGTAGTAGTACACTACTACTACCATAATTAAGATTACTACGACGATTCTTTTTACGACTCCTACTACTACTACTACTACTACCTACTACTACTACTACTACCACTACTACTATTACTACTACTACTACTACTACGACTACTACGACTACTACTACTACTACTACTACTATTACTACTACTACTACTACTACTGCTGCTACTACTACCACTACTACTACTACTACTACTATTACTACTACTACTAATACTACTACTACTACTACTACTACTACTACTTCTACTACTACGATTGCGACCATGCTCGCACCAACACCATTACTAGATATGGCACTTATGGCACTGCTACTACCATTACCAGTGCAATTTTCACTACTACGTTGATTCCCAGTAGTATTACTTCTGCTACTACTACTATTACTAACGCGACTACTACGAGTTTTTTTGCCTACGGCACGACGACTACTATCAGTAGAACTACTACCACCTCTACGGCTACTACTCCTACTACTGCTACTAAACATTCGACTACGATCAGCAGTCGTACCCGTACTACTTCTACTGCTACCACTATTGCTGTTGTTACTACTATTGTTTCTACGGCTACTACTACTAGTACTACTACCACTACTACTAGTACTGCTACCACTACTACTAGTACGACTACACCTGCTACTGCTGCTAGTCTTATTACGCTGAATACGACTACTTCCCTGAATAATAGTGCTGCTGCGCTTGCTACCACTACTCCTACGACTGCTATTACACATGCGACTCGTACTACTACTACACTAATAATAATACTACTAGTACTCAAGCTAGTACTACTAGTCTCAATGCTACGATTACTACGAGTGCTACTACTAGCAACATTACTACTTCTGTCATTTGTTCTGTGACTACTACGCCGACGGGCACGATGGTTATTACTACTACGACTCAGGACCAGTAGTACTACTGCTGCAACGAAAGTCGATTACGGTAGTGCAACTACAGAGTATTAGCAGTTGAATTATTAGTAGTACTAGTTCTAAATATCATGCTATTATGTTTTACTGTTGTCAGTGCTACCACCATTTGGACTGAACTATTGTTAGTGCGACTACTGCTACTGCATATACGATTACGATCCGTATTTCAACAACTACTACTACTACGACTACGATCGCCGTTATGACTACTACTACTACTACTACTAAGTATTTCAAACAATACTACTACAACTACTACTACTGCTACTACTACTATTACTACTACTACTATTACTACTTCTGCTACTACTGCGACTACGACTACTACTTCTAGTAGTCCTCTTACTACAACCACCACTACGACTAACTATTTCGACTACTACTACTGTTACTGCTACTGCTACTACTGCTACTATTAGTACTGCTGGTGATTACTGGTCTCGCAACTTCCATTATTGCTACTACTACGAGTACGACGGCGACGACGGCAACGAAGACTACCACTTCTACTACATGTGCGACTACGTTGACTATTGCCACCTACTACTACCATCACAACTACGACTACTACCACCTAGGTAGGGGTTTACCGCTAAGTCGCGGACGGGAATGCATTATGTTCGACGTTCTGGGTGCCAAGAGAAAGCTCCGTGAAGGGCGGGGGTGATATCCTGGGGAGGACCACCCCCTAGCACGGTCGACGTATATAAATTTGCCATTGGAGATTGCAATGATAATCGTTATCGGACAGGGGTTGTGAGGATAATGAGATATTGAGGAGGAGCATCCGGGGGGGAAGAGGAAAGAGGAAAGGAAGAGGAGGAGGAAGAGGAGGAGGAAGGGGAGGAGGAGGAAGGAGAGAGGACCCCATAACTTGCGGTCGAAGGGGGAGGCAATCATTGTCGAAGGAAGGGCAAAAGATCAGTACTAGCGGTCGGCGAGGGGGAAATTATCGTTTACTTCTGGCGGTGCTAATCAATATCGATCCGCTGAATCCGTCTCCTGGATTATGAATGTTCGTATCGGCGCTGATGATAACGCAGGAGGTGTTCTTAATAGCTTCATGAGGTTCATCTTCAAAATGGGTCGGACAATTGGGGGCACCTTGGGCCATGAATGAATACCTTCGGTCGCACCGCATGCTTTAGAATCGACGATCGAACGCTGAGCCCGACGATCAAGGGTTCAGGCTCGAGGATCATGATGGCCCGGCTCCACCAGCATGAAGAAACTTCCGTTGTTATACAGCCTCCCAGGGGCCTTCCTGGGCCCAGGGGGCGTCAACAAAAATACTCGGCACAAAACACCCGTCTCCAAAGACGCCCCCCGAGGTCCGGGATCCGACACCCTCAGGACTCCTTTACCACTTTTCGGGTGTTGCCAGAGTGCAAGCGGCTCCCATCTTCAACCAGAGCACAATTGCGCACACAGCGCATGAAAGCACACGACCGACTCACCGGAGCGCCTCGCCGGCATGTACAGCCAGGACTTCATCCTCCCCTGCACTCTGAGCTGACTGCTTTCATTTGTCTGCCAGTCAAGTTGCACGTCTGTATTGTAGTGGCCTCCGGCCAGTGCCGCCGGTCCAGGGGGGAAAGAGGAAGGACGAAGAGGAGGAGGAGGAGGAGGAGGAGGAAGTGGAGGCTGATGATGATGATGATGATGATGATGATGATGATGATGATGATGATGATGATGATGATGATGATGATGATGATGATGACGCTGACATTTACGATCGAAGACGCCTACGGCGAATCACCGCCGCCCCCTGCCTCTTTGGAAGCGCCTCTGTGGCCAGCTGTCCCCCGAGTCGGTTTGGAAAGACTTCGGGGGACGCGTGGGGGAGCAAGAAGAGGAGGGGGAGGATGATGAAAATAATGGAGGAGGAGGATGAGGATGAGGAGGAGGAGGAGGAGGAGGAGGAGGAGGAGGAGGCCTCTAGGGCGCCTCTTGGGGCACTCTTGGGGCCTCCTGGGAGCTTCCTGGGGGCCTCTTGGAGGGCTTTTGGGAGCGTTTGGGGGCTTCTTGGGGGCCTCTTTGGCCGTCTTAGGGTGTTCCTGGTTTGTCTGACGCCGTCGGAAGCCTTCTTGGGGGCCTGTCTACATCAGGGGTTCTTAGAGGCCATCTTGGGCGTCTTGGAGGCCCTTCGGCCGTTTTGGGGCCCTCTCGGGGCCGTCTTGGGGGCCTCTTGGGCCGTCATGGGGCCATCTTGGAGGCCTCTGAGGCGATCTTGGGGGCCTCTTGCGCTGTCTTGAGCTGTCGGAATGCCGAGACAAAGCAAATGCTACATTTCTTCAAAAACCTTACGGAACATCACTCCTGGAATACCTACTGGACGCCTTTTGGGCCGTCTTGGAGGCCTCTGGGGGACCTCTTTGGTCGTCTTGGGCCACCTTGAAGCCATCTGAGGCCGTCTCTTGGGTGCATCTTGGGCCGTCTTGGAGGCATTTTGGGGCCATCTTGGCCGTCTTGGCGGCCATTTTGGCCGTCTTGGAGGCCTCTTGGGCCTTCTTGGGGCCGTCTTGGGGGCCTCTTGGGCCGTCATGGGGCCATCTTGGAGGCCTCGTGGGTGATCTTGAAATATTTCAAAAACCTAAGGAA